AGAAAATCACAAAATACAAAGACCTGCAAATAGAAATAGAACAACTGCGGCAAAAGAAAGCGAAGATAGAACCAGTTATAGGCGCCTTCAGTCCAATCCCAAACATCTGGAGCACCACTTGAAGACCATCGGCATTGACAAAATCACCATCGGTCAATTGCAAAAGGCAGGTTTACTTGGAACACCTTACATCCTGTGACAATACCTTTACCACCATCAAACAACATCTGCCTATTCCAGGTCCTTGGGAAAGACTCAACAGGTGGACTAAAATGCCAAATCCAGTCTAAACATCTGGCTGACTATGCGAACAACAGCAGCAGCAGCAGCAGCAATACCCAGTTATTCCCAGGCATAATACCCAATAATATGCAGGCATCTCAAGCTGTGAGATGCCCCGTCTCTCTTATAAGCTGCATTAAGGGGACAAAGTCAGTCAAGCCATTTTAATTGCAAGAGAGGTGGTGGCAGTGGGCACTATAAATCCACCATGCCATGGGAAGGAGGAGAGGCTGAAAGATGGTAAAGGCAGAGTCTTTGTGGGAGCAAAAGAATGAGATGTCTCCCACCTATACCTGGTACAGGCACAGCCAGATGGCTCAGCCCAACCAGGTCTTCTTTCTGTTGCTACATCCCCCTTCAATACTTGAAAAGGGGTATCATATTCCCCCTCATTCCTTCCTTGCAGGACTTAGTGTCTGGTCTCATTATCATTCTTGTTGCCCTTTTACCAATAGTTAGATGGGCACTAACCTTACAACACAGTCGCGCGCCAAGACATTGGCTCGGAAGCCCAGCACAGCAAAAACCACCAACGTGGCCAGCACTGAGGTAAGGAAATTGATCCCAGACACGAGCAACCCATCAATGTGGCAGTTGTTATGCTGAGGATTGTAGCTGGAGTAAGCAATGATGGTCCCGAAGCCCAGACCCAGGGCAAAGAACACCTGGGTGGCTGCCTGACGCCAGACCTGCATATCTCCCCAAATGGACACCTTGGGGAGGGGGGAAGACAAGAAATTGTGAGACAGGGACAAAAGGCATCATGTCATGTTTCTTGCACTTCCGCCCCTGCTATATGTTTTCTCCTTTGCTGAAAAGCATAAAACGACTCAAGACAGTCACTCAAACTTTGGTTACCTCATGACTGGACTACTGCAATGCATTCTACACAGGGCTGCCCTTGAAGACCACCTGGAAACTGCAGGTAGTCCAGAATGTGGCAGCATGGGCAATTGTGGGCAGGCTACAGGCTAATTACTGTAACACTTCTGCTTCATGCCAGTGGACTCCCAGGTGCAAATCCAGATGCTGGTTATCACCTATAAAATCCTACATGGCATAGGGACTGGATATTTGAGGGATCACCTATTTCTTATAGTTTCTGCCCATCCTATACAGCCTGACAGAGCCAGCATACTCCAGGTCCCATCAATTAAACAATGTCATCTGGCAGGACACAAGAAGTGGGCCATCTCTGTCACGACACCTGCCCTATGGAATACCAGCCCACCCTAGATTTGTTCAATCACCACCCTGGACCTCTTTAGGTGAGCCCTTAAAACCTGGCTCCATCCTCAGGTCTTGGGTAAGAGTGGGCATTGGACCCCTTGAGAGACGTTTTGCTTACTCAACTGATTGTTAATTTTCTCTGGACTTCCTTTTGGATTACATATTTCGTCTTTCTATTGTTTTTTTTATTGTCATACAGTTTGGGGCAGCCTCTAAATTTAATAAATAAATAGTGTCAACATTTGAGAAATTATTAGAAATCTTGATTCTCCTTGCTTAGGCCTTGTCAAGCCAACAGTTGCTTCTCCTATTACACACTTCTGTGCCACTGCCCTAAGTTAACTACATTACTTGTCAGCCTTTAACTACAAGTCAGTGATGGCCACCATGATTATCTTGTATACATTATACAGAAATGACCCAGGCTGACTGTGCTGCACCCTGTAGTAATTTGGCCCATTGTTCTCCATGTTTTCCCTTTATTCCCATGCTGGCATCAGATGCTGAGGATAATATATTTTGATACCACTGGTGAAAAGGGATGCATCTAGAAGTTTTGAAAGTAAACAAATTAACGCTATGCCATAAAGGGGAAAATTTGCATGTATGAGAGAAGAAGCAATCCTGTACTTTTCAAGACCAGGATGGCCACCCAGGGCTGGAGTCTCTTACCTTGGGGGTGAACATGATCCTGATGCCATCAGCTGCCCCTTCTAGCAGCAAAGCTCGTACAAGGAAGCACAGGAGAACCATGTAGGGGAACAGTGAGCTGAAATACAAAACCTGGGATAGGGTGGAGGATGAGGTGGAAATGAATATAAAAATCAAGGCATGGTGACAATCACATCGACAGAAATTATCAGTACACAAGGGGAACATTTCGCTTTCGTGTTTCTGCAGCTTCCTTCCCACAAATCCCATTAGTGAACCTGCAAACGCCCTGACTCAGAGATTGCTTGTGAACAATCTTAGAGCCTCACAATTAACCATGGTCCAAACAAACCTGGTAGTATCCTTTTTCTATCCTGTTACCATGATATTGCCTTCATCTCATCCAGAGCCCATATGAGACAGGCTTAAGTCATCCTTAGATATGTAAGAGTTATAGCAGTATGTTTCCCCTTATTCCACCACCATCAAAGGGCAATAAAATCCATTTGGCTTCATCACCCATTCCCGCTAAAGGAAGTCAGGTCACTGTCATAATATAATAATATATTAAATTTATATGCTGCCTGACTCCCAGTGACTCTGGGTGGTTACGCTGGTACTGCTAACTCAGGGTTAGAACATCAATTCAGCAGTAGAAAAAGGCCCTTAGACTCATGCAGACAGTGCTGATCACCTCAATTAAAAGCAGCAATAAATTACTGATTGAATTAACAAAATGCACACTGTAATGCACCGTTTCTCAACCTTGACAGCTCAAAGATGTGTGGACTTCAACTCCCAGAATTCCCCAGCCAGTATGGCTGGCTGGGGAATTCTG